TGAACTCACCCCACTCCTCCCGACTGACGTCTTCCAACAGAAACGCACAGGTCATTACAGATGCTTCTGCAGTGAGATGAACTCAGATGAACATACCAGAAAGCGCACGGCATCAACAATCTCAGTTTGAGCAGACCAACATGATCCAAGCCGCTACTGTTCGACACCTCCGACACGTTCCCTTCGGTCCTCGGTTGCCGGATTCACCAAGCAAGTTGTGCTCAATCTTTCAAAACCATCCCTTCACGACAAGCTGAACGTCACAGCCCGGCTTCCCGGCTGGACCACCTCTGTGCCTCTGTGGGTTCGCACACTAACTGAGGCGAGGTTCGCATCTGACAGGTTGCCATCCAGCTCGGTGGACTCGTTGTCATCTTCCAGAAGATCTTCAGGGACATTGATGGCCTCCGTGACGATGGAGATGTTGATGGGAACTTCGGTCTCGTTCAAGCCCTCAGCCACGCTCATTCAGCACACCGCCTGCTACCAAACCCACAGCGTCATTGCATATCCTCCTCTACCGTGTACAATGTCATGTTCTTTTGATCAGTTGCAGACGCGACACGTCAAACACTTACCCCGAAGCGCCGCACTGCGCATCGCCCAAAGTAAACAAGGGGCATCACTGGCATCACTGTTGTTGGCAGACTCGTTCCCAAACACGGCCTCGTCGTCCTGCGGTTATGATGAGTTGACTTTCGATCTGGCTTCTTACCTATCCAGACAGGGCCGGCGGCATGTCATACCTGTCTTTGTTGTAAGCACTTGACATGATGCACTGCGCTGCAAGACTGGATCTAATGCAATGCTCATTATCGTGTAGCGGATTTGGCGGCTCGTTCGTCGCACACCGCAGTGGAAAGGAGGGCGACCATGTCGTGAAACCTCTGCAACTGCAGACCAAGTCGCCGGTAGAATCCACAAGTCGTTGCCTTGAATGCAGGCGTCTGGGAATACCGCATGGCCAGGGATCTACGAGTGAACTCACCGCACTCCTCCCGACTGACGTCTTCCAACAGAAACGCACAGGTCATTACAGATGCTTCTGCA